TCATTGATGATTTTTGATTATGCCATTTACCATTATCAGAAATTATAAAGATCTTATGCTAATTAAACATTTTCTGCTCTTTATCAGATAATATAATGTATTGGCTTTCTTCATTTATGTTTAGTTTATTTTATATTCTCACGTTAAACAGTTTATGCTTGCTTTTCCTATATTTTAAGTTCTTTTTTTTTTCTTGTACCATATTAATTAATCTTTTTAATTACAGGATATAAATTTAACGTTTTAAAATGAATATTTCCGAACGAAATCTTAAGATTTTATAAGTACACGTACATTATTAGTGACAGAAAACAGAGTATATGTTATCATTTCCATCATTTCTTATCGAAAATTGTCTTCAAAAATTAAATACTTATTAGCTTAAAGAGATAGAAGATGAGAGAGAAAATATAGTTCATATACGATGTTTCAATCTAGTTAATCAGACATTGCACTTAGTGAAGAAGATACCATCTTTCATTTGGTTCATTCTTATATCTTACTGTCAGATAGGAGCAATACAGTGTAAGCTTAATTGAGTTTGATAAAGTATCTTTGCGAGAACATCGTAAATGTAGGATTAATTACAAGGATGAAAACCAACGAAAGGGAAGGGTATCCATCGGTTACTTTTGTCAGTCGAGTTATTATCTTTCTTTTTCTTTTGTCTTATGAAGGGAAGACATCAAATCGAAATGTTGTTTGGATAATTGGAAGATGAAGGACGTTATCGCATTCGACTTCAAGGATGAAATATCTTCTACATTAAGAAAGGAAAAAAAAAAGAAGAAGAAGAAGAAGAAGACATAACTGAGTTTTGCGCTTTATTATAAATTATTATGCTTATCGACTTTTATCTGACTATCTCATTTTCGAGATCGAGTTAAAGAGAGATGATGCAAGCAAAAGGATGTTCGAATTATAAGGATTGTTAGATTAATTAGATTGATGATCGCTTGGATTGTTTGAAGATAATGAGCTTTTTCGGATCGTAAAGGAAAATTTTATAATCTTTTTTAAATGAAATTTTAATTGGAAGTTTATATTTGATGTTGTTTCAATTGTTACGAAGACATCTGTTTATGATTTTCTTGGTCTTAGTTAAATGCTTCGATAGTTTCTATATACCAAAAACAACGAAAAAGTTAATTGAAATTCTCTATATATTTATTAAAAAGTTATTAAATTTATATCAAGTTTAATTCTTAAACATATCATTGTATTAAATTATACTTTTCATTAAAGAAAATTTAATTATACTTATTTTTATTCAATTATTTTAAAGTTTATCTACGTTAAATAAAATAAATTAATTAAGCCATAAAATTGATAATTTTAGAAACTGCCAATATAAAAAGTTTTTATTTTTTTGCCAATTGAAACTTGACTGTTGTTAGCTTATGTAATAAAATAAAAAAAACTGTTTTTTTTTTTTGCTGTAAGGACCGCAGGTTTAGGTTATTGAAACTCTGGAAGTATGTCCGTATACTAGAATAACATTCTCGTCTTTGAAGAAAAACCAACGACCAAAAAAAAGGACAAAGTGTCTCCTGGGGTTTCCATGTAAGAATCTCATTCCTCTTGGGAGAACTTCGGCAACAGATGCGGCTTAACCATGGTCATATTTGTGAATGTCAACCTTTAAGCAGAAATTCTACCGAATTTACTTTTTCGAGAAAGTAAATGAGAGAAGATTATTTAATCTCGTTTAAAAGCCTTTTGATATTACTTAATTTATATTTTCTTAATATACTATACTTCATATTACGAAATAATTCAGTTTAAAAGTAATAAAAACTATATAAAGTTAAAGTTTAGGATGTATTTTTGAATGTTTAAGTATTCCTTTAACACTTTTGAATTGCTAAAATTGATTTCTACATACCTTCTTTTAGCTCTTGGATTTCAAAGCTATCGTATTCGTTGAAATCTAAAATTATCAATAGAGAATTTATATATATATATATATATATATATAGGTTAAGCTTTAAAGGTTTGTAAAAGCGAACCATACCAATAGAAAAATAGATTCGGACTTATAATAATAATAAAAAAGAAAAATTTCAAACAAACGTGTGCCGACTGTCAAAAATTTGTACAATCGAAGAAGATTTTGTGCCATCCATCGAATTGAAAAGAAGATAAACACTTTTTGACAGAAGCGCCCTACTGTGTAAATAGAGGGAACAAGCGTGTCTTTTGTAACACAGAATTTTCCCAAACTTCTAAATGAGTCGGATGATACATTTCTAACAAAAGATTTCCTGAATGTGGTCGTTATCCTCCCAAAAATCTTGTTTGTTACAAACCACTATCTCTATTGCACAGTCGATATTTCTTCACTTAAAGAGAGAGTAAAGTAATAGTAGAACGAGAGATTTCTTGATACATAAGTGGGGACTTTTTTTTTATTTTTATTTTATATTCATAGCATGGATCATTACGCGCGCACTTTTCCTGAATATAGGCACTTCTAGTCTCTCTCTCTCTCTCTCTCTCTCTAATCCCTCTTAAAAATTATTAAGTAGAAAGAGTTAAAGTATAGTTACGAAAATGCAAAAGAAAGTCTTACTTTTTCTTGCATAAAAAATTATTATTTTTTTTATTGTTTTAATACTACAAATGCATATTTTATATAACATAGATGCTGAATAAGCAAATTAACGGTTTATTAAACTAATATATTACGTTCTTTTTTTTTTTTAATTATTACTAAAGTTTCTTTTGTGTTTTAAACGTGATTATATTCAATTTTAGATGATAAATTAGTAAATTAATGAGCGAGAAATAAATAATATAATACTACGAAATGGGAGATAATTCAATGGAGAAAATCAAAATATTTCATTATCTCTGTAAATGTGAATGCATTTTGTAAATGATGCACTTCCATTTTCGGATACCTTTAAGCCAAATGTTATCATTTTAACATATGATGAGGATACAATATGTATAGCTATAGGTATATATATATATATATATATAATATAATAAAGTTATCATAAGTGTGTATAGGCTTCTAAACGGAAACCATTAGATTTCCTTTCAGAAAGTAATCGTTTTAGTTTGGTATCATCTTTCATACTCTCCAATTGGGACACAGAATAATGATCTTAAAACGATAAGAAATATCCTACATTTAGTCATAGGAAAGTAGAAACGATGGAATACTTTTAACTTTTGTTTTGTTTTCGAAAATTTCCTGAGGGAATCAAGCACTGAAACTTTTTAACAAACTTTAATATATTTTCAAAAATGTTGTTAAAAGTTTTAGAACTCGAGTTTAAATAAACTTGAAAGAGAAAATCGAATGTCTTTAGGATATTACGGCTCATTCAATTATTGCTATACATTATAAACTTCTGGGGTTTAAATTATTTTTTAAAAGTTCTTTAATATTGAATAAATTCAATTATTTTAATATTTATAAATTGCTTTAACCTTTATACTTAAGTTAAAATTATCATACATTTCCAATAGGGAATTAAAGAAGTTCTTTTTAAATTCATTACTTTTCTTCTATATTTATGATAATTTAATTCTTATTTTATCTTCTATGAAATTCTAATACAAAACTTAAAATTTTTTGGTTAATTTTATTATATTTTTCAATGTAATTATTTGCTTAGAATTTATATTTTGATTCACGTGAAAGAAAAAAAGACTTAAAAAAAGAAGAAGTTCAGAATTTATTGTCGAAAAAAGTCTTGATGTGTTGTTTCAGTTCCGCTCGAAATTCAGTTGAAAAGACTTCAAAAATAAATTGATCTATGTTCTCTATGGGGACAGAAATATTACTTTTAAGTCTGAATACATGGTTACGGTATTCAACTGGACATCGCGTGACCTGGAGAAAGAACCCAAAATCTGATTTCTTCTTCCATGTTAGATGGGCGTTGCCACATCCCTCTTATCGTGAAGAAATGAGATGATGAGGTATAGTACTTGGAAGACATCCCATGAGATGAGATCGTAATATTGCAAGAAGCTATGACAGTCAGCAGTAAAACCCGATAAGAAATTTTTATCTTGGTGCTATGTTGGTACCTCTTTCAATATTCTATCTCTCTCGCTCTCTCTTCTATCCCCCCTTTTATTTTCTTATCGCTTCCGTTTCTGGTATTCTCAAGCCTCCTTTTTCACTCTCATCATACTTTTCCTAGGTGGTCTATAAATTTTCGCTTGGTCTCAACCTGATGCCTTGAATGCCACCTGGGACCCAATGGATAATGATTCCTCCACTTCTTCAGATGGCCGACATGTCTTTGGTAAATTATTACGATTTGTTATCTCTTACTCGGTTGGATGCGAGAACTCTTCTAATATGAAACTGTCACGGTTCTTTGCTTCTCTCTTCTGGGAATCACACGTCACTTGTTTATACTCATATTATTATTATTTTTTTTCTTTTTTAAATCTTAGTTTTGTCGCATTTTCCTACTTTTAAATGTTTCTTAATATAAATTTTATTAAGATTATTAATGGCTAAAAAAGCAATGTAATTTCGTTAAAAGTACAATCGAATTTGTTTGTTTTTTTAGTACTTGATGAATGGGTCACAAACGAAATTATTTCCATCCCAATATTAACTTAAATTTATGGAAAAATGTATAAAATTTATAGCTCTGTTGCATATTGTTTCGCCTTTGAGATATGAAATTGTTATGTTTTACTTTACTAGATTTTTTTCCTACGTTCTCACTCACGTAACCAAGAAGCATTCAGGTGATTTTATTAAAAGGGGAGGACTCCATTTTTATTGTTCTCGAATAAAAAATGAAAAATTGCCTAGATTATTCTTTCCTTTTTTATATATATATTAAAAAAAAAGTGCAATATGAGACCATACAAAATTATTCAAACAAAACTTTAAGACGTGGTTCAAATTTTTTATTTTTATTTTTATTATTATTATTTTTAACGAATTTAATCATGTTATTTATCTAGGTTAAATATTTCTAAGATGTTATTATTAATGGAATTTCTTTTAAATTTTCTAGTGGAGAGACCAAAGTACAGAACAGCATACGCTTGCGAAGGTAGCGAACTTCACATTTCATGCGATGAAGGTCATTTAATACACCTTATCCGGGCTAATTATGGAAGGTTCAGTATAAGTATATGTAATGAACACGGATCATTAGACTGGAGTGTCGACTGCACTTCTCATAGATCCTATTATGTCGTATACGAAAGGTAAGAGAGAAATTTTATGGTTTAGTAAATATATTTCTAAGTAAAATAAATATTTATTTAAAGTTTAAAAAAAATTTTTTTACTTAAAAGAAAAATTTTTAAATGTTAAAATTTATT